TGATGGTGCAGAGGGATGCAGCATCATGGTTGGCTATTTACCGTGTCTCACGAAGTCCCTCTACCTCCTCATTCGACTGGTGACAGATCCGGCGCCCAAATTACTAGGCATGGTGGAGGTGGATGTTGGTATTCGTTTTGTGCTTCTTGCACTCACGCCGAGAGTGAATGAGGAGAGGGCCATGTATCAAACAGGACGATGTTTCGCCACAATGCTCAACGAAAATGTAAGAGACATCGCCAAATTGTGGACAATGTTATTGTTAGCGAAACTTGAACACCTACTGCTTTCAATATTCGTCATCACTTAGGTTAAATAATTTCAGAAGAGGAGCAAAGCGTGTACTAGTTGCCAGAGTGTCGTTTGTTTGTTTGTTCTTTGTTTTTGACAGAAATTTCTCACAGCCTTGCGTCATTCACATGATCCAGGCGACATCTACAAGGCCGCAATGAATTTCAGACGGGATATAATAGTTATTTCTCATGGTTATTCAGAGGTGCTCAATCGCAGTGGTGGCATCGATGTGCCTTCTCCTTACGCCAACGAAGTCGAGTTTGATAGAACCGATCTTGGTAGGCTTGAACTACATCCCTTCTTCATTGCATCTATATCTTGTGCTTCAAAATATTTGTAGATTTATCATGGATAGGCTGCATATGACGGAAACTTAGTGGGCTAAATGTTCATTCACAAAGTGTCTGTAAACAATGTGTCATATTGCATGCTAAAGTCCCTCTTGTAAGCTAATTGTTAAAGAAGACAATCCAAGTGATCAAGAGCAAGACATCACGTGACCAGAACAGAGATAACAAACTTGTTGTTGAGACCTACTCTGTTTACTCATTTATTAGATGCACTAATCTTGTAAGAATCGGTGTCCAAGAAAAGGCTAACAATCTGAGTTAGCTCACTTTAACTTGAAGGTTGCACTTCCATTCATAAAAAAACACTTTTTACAGTTTACTGCAATTTGAGGTTTTTTTAATGGTTGTAAAATGTTTTCGTCGCAGTGTTTGATGACGTTTTGGATGCAACTTCAAAAAATGAAATGATGTCATCGAACTTAAGTTTACAAATTGAGCCCCAAGCTCATTGCACCAAGCATTCATTCAAGCGCCTGTGTCCACCATTCTACGAATTGGTGCGTGGAATCAAGGCCCTCGCCGCCCGAATGCCCAGCGACTACGTCGATGCCTTTACCAAAGACAATGTGGGAACAATGCTGAGTAGTATCCTCTTCATCTACTTCGTCGTATTTGCACCGGCTGTTACCTTTGGGACTTTGATGTGTAAGTCAGCTTACTTTCTCCATGACGGATAAAAAGACACTATACACTTTTCACACTAATGTGGATTTAAGTCAAAAAAGGATTTTGAATACATGCGAACCTTTAAAAGAAGATCATAAATGGACAACCTTAGTAGTGGCACTAGTTTTTTTCACGTATATGGTGGTTTTGACTCAGTAGACGGTATATTAAAGTAGATAATCATACACTGTTGCGAAATGCTTGCATTGCACTCAAAGGAAATGCATTGAATACGAGATATTGTGAATAAGGGTTAGAGAGACTAATAAAGACTGCTCGGCAGATGAGGAAAGGCATAGCACTTGATTAGAACGCAGTCGTTTTGAAAACGGAAGGGAATATAGGCATGGTCCAGAAGCCAACCCAACCGGATAGCACATCTAAGCTAATGCAGACGAAACCGGCATTTAAGTAGGGCATTACAGAGTGAGTTATTTGTTCCTGCAAATTGCAAACTGTCGGCAAAGGAAGTCTAATTGACCCATTTGCAAAGAGTAGAGGAGGGCCTTGATGCATACAATTTGGCATCACCCGAAAGCGTTTTTTCAAGCGGATGCAAAAAAGCAAATGATGACATTTAATTGTGTGCACTTGGATTTTCGATTTGCATATTCACCTTTTTTCTCAAAGTGAAAAATGAACGTGCTACGCTAATGAAAGTGGATTGTTGCCACACGGGGCATTTCAACCACGCTCGCTACCGACACCGCAGAGAAGTAATGAGGTTCTCTGCGATTTCTTTGGAGACGAAAGAAATGCTAGTGCTTGGTTGGAGTGTGCATTGTCGACCCACAGTAGTGATTGAGGCTAGTGGCACG